GGAGGAAACGTCTTTTTACTCTTTACGGGATCGTTCCTTCTTCTTCCACAAGACCCTTTTGTTAATTAGCCTTAACCCTTCTTCTTCGATTTCAGATCGTCTCCTCAATTTTCATAGTTACCTTATTTTCCTCCGAATCTCTCTCCATTCTTCCTTCTCTCTCACCATTAACAAACCCTCGATTTCCTTCCCTCACAATCACCACTCTTCGTCTTCATCAGTCTCTTTCGTCCGATTGATTGAGACTTTTTCCCCTCGCTTGTTCTCGACCCTTTTCCGCTAAATTCAGTGCGGAGATTCTATTGGGTTTTGGATTTGAATGTAGGGATCGCTCAAGAGACTGAGGTGGACGTAAATCTGGGTGCTTCTTTTTCTGGGTCGTCGTTTTTCTCGTCTACATGCAGTTTTGGGGATAGTACGTGCGATTAAGCGACGAATCTTCGTTTCGATACACGAAAACTCTCTAAACGAGTCGTGGTTTAGCAATGGAAGGAGATATGGTGGCTAAGGTGAAGAGAGAAACGGTCGCCGCATGCATGACTTGTCCTCTCTGCGACAAGCTCCTCCGTGACGCTACCACCATTTCTGAGTGCCTTCACACGTGTTAGTTCTTCCTTCTACCTTTCGATTTACGTTTCAATTCGCTTTTCCGATGTGAAATTTTCCCCTCTGCGATTTGTAATTGCTGGGTTTTCTCGTGTTCATCGTTGTTTGATTTGATTTGATTTGATGATCTGCGTTGTTATATTCCTGTTTTAGGTTGCTCTTATACATTGAAAATTTGTGTGATTATTGTTGTTAATCTCGAATTTCCTCTGTTATTCGGGTCAATGAATAGTTTATTGTCTGCTTTTCTCAACAATAGTTGGTGTTGACCAAAACCTGTTTACATTGTAGCCTGCAAGAATCCTTCTTTTGGTTTGTTGTTTTGAAGTTTGGGAAATGGCATATTGGGTCAACTCATGCGATCAAAACTAGGCTTCTTCTCAAATTTTGTTTTCGGCTAATCGTGTGTTGCATGTTGTTAGTTAGGTGTCACTTGCTTTGTTATATCCAGCATGTAAGTTGTGTGTTGGAAGTTTAACTGACAAGGAACATGTACTAGTAATTTGTGTTATATTCTGCTCTTTATCAGTTTAATCTTCTGATGATATTTGTGTTAAGCGGCCTCTTTCTTCTCCAGGATATTGTACAATTAAGAAAGTTTAGATCATTTTCTGTTTAGAAAGCTTCTTAGTTTCTTTGACATGTACCAGTGATCTTTCTCCATATCAAACTATTGCATAATTCCAAAGATATACACAACCAGCACTCTGTTACCCTTTACCGAGAAATTTACGTTGATGGCCAATCTGGTCAATTAAATGAATGCAGACGCCATTCTGTAATTGTAGAGATTAACTAAATTACACATGTAAGGTAAATCTGATTGATAATGCTTATTCCATCTGATCCAAGAAAGTTAAATGTAAGGAGTTCGATTCATTGCAAAACTGAGCAATTTCCCTTTTAACACCAGAAGTTTCTGTGAACGTAGCAGCCTTTTCTCAACTGTAGAATTCTCGGAACGCCCTGCAGAATCTGTTTTTGAGTTACTGGAGTGCCAAAATTAGGTGTTCTCGTTTGCTTTGCGGTTTGGTTTCTGGGGATCCATGCCATAGATGCTATCTCGTTTCCTTAGGTTGTTAACTAGATAAAATCAAGTTCTTAAAACCAAACTGGATGATGCTTATTAACCGCTTTTCCACAAGCTTCTGCCCTGAAAATTGGTATTACTTGATGTAGTAGAGGCCATATCAATTGTTAGCCTTGCTAAAATGATTGTGGTGGATGGAATCAGAGATTCTAAACTTGCAATTAAGGAAATTCAAACTTGGTAGCCAGCCAGCTTGCTTTGAACCTCAAAACATAATGCTATTCACTTTTTAGTTGAACTTTTGATCTGAGACATTGCTTGTTTTATCTTTTGAGTTGGTCGCTTTTATTATAAAACATCTTGTTCTTACTTGATAGTTGCTATCTTTTGAAATGAGATAAGTTCTTAGATCACTTTTATNCAGTTTGTAGAAAATGCATATATGAAAAAATCACAGAGGATGAGATAGAGTCCTGTCCAGTATGTGATATTGACCTCGGAGGTGCTCCACTGGAGAAACTGAGGTAGGTTCATCTTCTCCTCTATTTCTGTTACTCAATTTTCTTATGAAGCTTGGTTTAGCAGTGATTTCTTCTTTCTACATTCTGTTTGTACCATAGATTGTTAGAAGGCTCTTAACTGTTGATGAAATGAATAATTTTAACATAATGCTGAAAACTTGTACACGTTTATGCTAGAATGTGCCAGTACCACATATCTAAGGGTTTTCTATAATTTGTGGGGCATAATGTGGGATTGATCAAGAAAAATCATTTTGATTCAGAAGCACTTGTTATAACCTGAATATGTTGGTTAGCCTAATTCTTCCCTGCTACCAACTATTTTTGGTTAGATCCAGAATCAAATCTCTTTACTACTATACTATCTCTTACTAGTCATTTACCAATAAGAGCTTAGTTGGTGGTGAACTTATGTATCTCTAAGGAACCACTCTTATGCATGTATTTTAGGCCTGACCACATTTTGCAAGACTTGAGAGCCAAAATATTTCCTCTAAAACGAAGAAAAGAAAGGACGTCTGAAGTTGTGTCCTCAATTACATTACCTGCAAGGAGGAAAGAGAGGTCTATCTCTTCTTTGGTGGTAAGCACACCTAGGGTTTCAGCACAAGCTGCTACAACAGGAAAAAGAACAAAAGCTGTCACGAGAAAAGATGTACGAGGTAGTGGTTCATTCACTAAGAGAACTGTAAAGAAGGAAGAAGAACTTGGAGATGATCATACAGAGAGTGCAAGCTCCCCTGAAACACTTCAAAAGTTTACGCAGAATAAAAGACAGGTAAAGAAGGTGATCAGTTCTCTCTTTAGCTTTATGTTTTATTTTGGTACACATTATGGAATGAATTATAGTGCATTTTCAGCTTCAGAGTCATAAGTGCTTAGAAAATGTCGTGACAAGGTCACCATCTTTTCCAGGAGCAGATGTTATCATGTTTATATCATTTCTGGAATTGTAAAGTCTAGCTAGAGTTTTGTCGCATACAGATACCATGTTCGATTTTGGATGCCCAAGTCCATACACATCCTTATGACTGATTATGATCTTCAGATAGTTCACCAGACATTTATTTGTTTATTGTTTTTTTGCAGTCTATATTTGCAGAGCCTAACCAATCCCTCTCTAATCGAAGAAACAAGGATGCTGACGAGCCTTGGGACTCCAAATTACATTCTTGGAAACCTTTAAATTTTCTTGTGGATGTGGCAAACGGAACAAAGTCTCAGGTGTCAGACCCAAAATCTGAGCATGGAAATGCATTTCAGAATAATGTTCAGGGTAGTAAAACCAAAACAAAGGATCATAAAAGAAAATGTAAAGTCGAGCAAGAGAACAGCAATAATGGTGATCCTACAACATCAGAAACTGCTACGCTTAAAAGACCGTGTAGGACTCGACGCAAACGGTCCTCAACTTTTGGTGATCCAAGAATTTCATCACTACTAGATGCAGCAACCCTGAAACAGGAGAGGAGAAATGGTCCTGTTTGGTTCTCCCTTGTTGCATCCAATAATCAGTGAGATTCGTGCTCTGTATCTGAGCTTTACAAGGTTTTTCTTTGTCATTTCATTTCTATGTCTTGGAAGCTTGACAAGGACTTGCTGGTTTCAGGGAAGGAGAAACATCTTTGCCTCAGATTCCAGCAAACTACTTGAGAATAAGGTCAGTTTTTTTGCTGGCTCTGTTTTCTTGTCACGAAGTTTTCATTTGTCTGATTAAATAAAGCTTTTTGCATTTATGGCGTTGGATTCGATTTCGCAGTTGTTTATTCAGAGTTTTCATGTCACTGTTATTTCTGTGTTGGTATGCTTTTCTTGATAAAGCCTTCTTCTTCTTTGGCCACATCTCACACCAAATTCTGGATTGGGAGTATCTAATTTGCTTGCTGTTTGGAAGAATTATATTGTATCAGAGTTGATGTGCTGTCTCATTCTATGGTAGGGATGGGAATATTCCAGTTTCTTTTATCCAAAAGTACCTCATGAGGAAGCTTGATCTCAAGAGTGAAACCGAGGTAAGCAACCTTTTCTCTGTTGAAACAACCTTCTATATTTGGAATTACATAGACCGTATTATTATAGATTGAGTTGAGTCATTTATGTCCATACTAGGATGACCGTAAGGTCCATAACTATTAGTCTGACCTTGAAACTATTGTGAGTCACGTGTCACAACGACAGCATGAGAGAGGAAAAAACCTTTGACATCAAAGCTAATGGACTAATGGTTCTCACCGGTTTGCAAATTTAAACTCAACTGTGGGCCTTATACGTTGGTTGACTCAGACGCATAATGTTTGAACTAAACTCAGCTCTCCGTTTTGTTTCCAACGTGTGTATAGTGAGTGATATCTGATGGTATACTGGATTAAATATGTTCACTTGTTTATGTTAAATTTCTAACAGGTAGAGATAAGATGTATGGGAGAACCAGTGATCCCAACGTTGCAGCTTCACAGCTTAGTGGAGCTATGGTTGCAAACAGCTTCTAAGCATGAAAGAGTAGCTGCATCTATAGGTTCCTCTGCAAAGGAATTTGTAATGGTGCTAGTTTATGCTCGGAAGCTTCCAGAATGCAACAACTAAAGAAGTCTTTAAAGACTCCTCTGCAAAAGAAACAAAGTCAAACTTCTTCTTCGTTGAATCTTTTCCATTCCGAGAAGAATAAGTGAAGTGCAGGAAGAGTCAAATGTGTTGTGTAGTTTAGTA